CAACAAATACGATAGGCGACCACATAAACCGCAGTTGCAAGAAACTCCAGTACCTAAATATCCAACACAGATATTGCACATGGACTTGATGGAGATACAGGGAGAGAAGTATATATCATGCGTCGACAAGTTCTCTAAATTTGCGAAATTCTTCAGAATCAAGGATCGATCAGCTATTCATCTAAGGGACAAAATAACGAAGGTATTACACTATTTTACCGTCCCGAAAATGATTATATTCGACAATGAGCGCAGCTTCGTGAGCCCTATAACACTGAACTACATCAGGGCTTTGGGAATAGAAATCTACACCACACCATCACAAAAAAGCGAGGTAAACGGGACAATCGAAAGGGTGCATTCAACTATTATCGAAATAGTAAGATGTCTTCAGAAAGAATACCCGCAACTTTGCCAAAAAGAAATCATCAACTTAGCAGTAGATCGCTACAACAATTCAATACACTCTGTAACAAAAATGAAGCCCAGCGACGTTTTTTTCGGCAGACCAAGTGGAACATCCTATCAGGATCTCATCGAAGCAAGAATAAAGATTAATAATGAACTCATAGAACGCATCGAGAAAAATCAGAAAACGAAATTAAAGAGAGAAAACAACAAAAGAGACGAACCTAAAAACTATCCAATAGGTGAAACAATTTACGTTCGAGACAAGCAAATCAAGGCAAAGCACAAACCGATATACAAGAAAGAGATTGTGGCAAAAAACAATAAAGCTACCATTATTACCGCTTCCGGAAAAAGAATCCATAAATCACACATCAAGAACATATAACATTAGAATATTATGTTAATAATCAAAACCTTAGGTTTCTTTTTAGACTAGCAGTCACTAGAATTACAGCATTTCCGAAAATCTTCGAATTCAAAGGCGCAATAGCAACCATTAAACAAGGACAAGGTCAAATCTTGGAAGGAAATTTCAATTTGGTGCACATCATTGATTTAAAGAGCTATGACGAGGTTATACAACAAATCATTCCTTTGGTTGATGGAATCAACTCGACCAGCATAATGAAACCACAGTTAGAACACCAACTGGCTCAAATAATGGAATTTCTGACTAAATTGAGAAGCAGCAAATCAAGAGTTCAACGGTCAATAAATTGGATTGGTACAGCATGGAAATGGCTGGCAGGAACACCAGACGCCACAGACTGGGACAACATCGTTACAAGCCAAGACAAGCTGATACAAAATAATAATCAACAGTACAAAATAAATCGTGAAGTTATGAGGATAACAAACCAAGTAGTAGAAAGATTTAACCACATTTTGGAACATGTAGGGAACTTAGATCATCGATCCGAACAAATAATATTTAACAAACTTGGAATCATAAAAGAAGCCTTGGGAGAAAACGTGTTAGCGACAGAATTAGCAAAAAATGGAATTGTCAACACAAATCTTCTTAGCAGGATTGAAATCCAAAAAATACTGAAGGAGATCGATACACTACCCTACGTCAACGAAATTGAGGCAATAGAATACGCAAAACCACAGGTAGTAACCAATAGACGAGAAATTCTCTACATATTATCAATACCGAAGACAGGCAACCAGTACTATGACCACATTATAGCGAGATCAACAATCCGAAACTCCCAACAAGTCTACCTCGAATATCAGGAACTTCTCGTGAAAGATGACGTATATGGCATATCGACAAAATGCGAGAATTTAAGAAACATCACCATATGCGAAAGAAGTAAAATTCGAAAACTGGACGAAGGACACTGTATGTATCAACTGCTAAAGGGAATAAACGCCAGTTGCAGCCTTCAATACAATAAGGAAGAAATCATAGAAACCATAAGTGAAAATATCATCTTTCTCAATAATTTCAATGGGGAGCTAACAAGTGGCAACACGAGCAAACACTTAACTGGAAGCTTTATGATACAGCATACCAACGAAACCGTTCACATAAAAGGTCAGAAATTTACAAGCGAATCTGCCACCACGTCGCAAGTTTTACCACCTGTTCTTCAAGAAAATTTAAAAGAAGGAGATATCAAGCTAAGCCTCGACTACATTCACGATCTTCATATCAGCAACACAAAACAACTTCAGAAGCTAATACCAAGGAGCCAACTCTCTATAGCATCCGATATTACTATAGGACTCGTCATCATTGCAGTCATCATCATTTGGGTCATCAAGAAAAACATCAGCAAGGTTGTGAGAAAACGCACTCCAACAGTGGTTCCTACTATAGAGATTCCGCAAATTTCAGTCATAGAAGCACCAAAATTCCAGCTTGATCTACGGGACGCAGATCTTTGAAGGGGGAGGAGTTATCACCGTCTTTAGTTACATATTCAAGTGGTATCAAATTACATCTTCAGTACGATACTAATTTCTGTTCACATGAAAATTGCTGACACAGCGTCTGCAATCGAACATGTTTAAACATGAAGAAATTACGAAATTATCGTTCCCATCAAAAATGCTGACGAAACGTCTATAATTTTGCACGAGGCCGGAAATGAACTTAATTTTAATTACTATAAATACTGTTAGATTTTAAGATATGATTTAGTCTAAAATTGGTGTTAATAAGAATAGAATATTATAATTAAACTATCAATTCGAATTTAAGTAATTGTAAAATTTAATTTTTAAGTAATAGTTGTGACATTGTGTGAAATAAAATTATTTTTTTATAATCGAATCAAGATAGTTTAATAACTTGTATGTATGTAAGTGGCGATAAACATTAATTTAGCCATACTTAATGCTCGGGTAATGTCAAGCAAAATATGTTTCAATTCATATAAAAACGATTAAAAGAATATTGTTCCATTTGTAGAATATTTAGTTTCCTCTCAAACATTTTTTGGAAAATTAAAAGGAATAATTTTATAACCAATTGAAATTTACAAATTTATTAAATACATTCACATGTATGTACCTACATGTGTAAATATAAAATTCACAAAGATTTTGTGAATACCGCACTTTCAAATGTTTGTGCATCATAAAGGAAATTGTTTATAAAAGTGTCAATTTTGGAAAAGATTTCATAATTTATTAAAAACGGTAAAAATATAATTTTATCAAATATTTCTGTTGAAATAAATAAAAATCGCAATTTTATGGGAAAAAAATACTGGTCACAAGTAATTTAAAATAAAGGCTGGCTGTGGAAACTATGTAGAAAACTTTGAATCTCCTATTTTCGCATTTTTCAGTTAATTCAAAATATGTTTTAAAAAACATTTGAAAGCCTTAATTAAAAAATTGTACCAAATTTATAGTACTGCTAAGAAAAAAATAAAAATCAATATTTAAAATCTTCATACTTTTTTATTAATCACTAAGTTTTTTTTCTTTTTTTAACATGTGCCAACGAAAATGCACTTCAGTTTTGTTTTAAATTTCTATACATGGGATTATGACAATGCCATTGAAAAACATTTAATTTTAATTCTAAAAAATTGTTTGCATATATTTTTAAAATACAATAATATAAGATTTTAACACTCTAACTTTTACGATTCCTCAAAATATAAAAATAGCGATATTGGAAAAAAACATCTTAAGGGGTTGAGTAATGTTACTTTTAATCTGCATTTTCATGATACGCATCTTTATGTTGCGATTTTGTAATTTTAAATCGTTCTTTTACTAATTTCAACGTGGTCTTTTTCTAAATTAAAGTTTCTTCTGTTTGCAAAAATTAGAATTTAAATTTTTAGGACCCCAAAGCGAAAATTTAAGGTAAAAACATAAATTGAAAACTTTGTTTATAAACTCAAACGTAATGCTGCAGGAATTGTTTTATAAACAAACATGTAAAATTTAATACGTACAGACTCACTGTTCTGATTTGTGATTTTCTTTATTTGAACTTGCTTTTATGTCAAAAATTTATTTATTTTATGTCATTAATTTATTAATTGATTATATTATTTTCAGATGAATTAAGTAAAAGTTTGCAGACGTTTAGATATTTGAAAAATCTTGTTTTTTTATCTAAACTTTTTTTGTCAGACGACTATACGTTGAAAATAACAGATTTCTTTACATCTCACATTTGTAGCAAAAAATGGGTATTTCAATATCCTTTTTAATTTACACAGCTATTTTATTACAGCTAATTTGAACATTTTTAATAAACAAGATTGTTCTCCAATTTTTTTATAATTTAGATCGAATGAAAACGCTAAAAGTTTCATTAACTAAAAACCGCTGATAATTTTTGGCAATTTAAATAATTAGATGCCATCATAATCATTGCGATTGTACGTTTTACCTACAAATTCTAAACAACAGCAATTTTTAAAAATATTACAACGGATCAAAGTGGCCTGAGTGCACCTTTTGAGGGAAAAAAAACTTAATGGTAAACTTTTAAAATTCGTAATTAAAAAACATTAAGTGTCCCTAAATTTGAAGCTTAATATTTTTTACATTTTAAAGTTTTGCATTTATTGTTATGATTCCCTAAACCAAGAAGTCTCTAAACATGAAACACAATTTTTTTAAGTTTTCAACAAATATTATTATCGCTGATAGCTAAATCAATACACGAAACCGCAAGTTATCAAATGGTGCTAAATCGAATTTTTACTTTAATGTTAAAATATTAATTTAGTAAGGAATTGAGAAACAAAACACTATAAATTAAGTATGTAGAATTTTTTTTGTACATATTTTAGATTATAAATTTAAAAATCAAATAATTTTTCGGAAAACTTATATAAGCAGCTATGTATGTACATATGTACTAAACTTAATTTTATAATAAAAAATGAACAATTTGAAAAATTTCTGACAATTTCAAAGTATGGATAAGTTAGTGTACACACGTACACACGTTAGTTGAAGATATCAGAAATCATGATTCACATCAGTCATTTCATGAGCTTTGGAAAAAAACTATATATTGTACATTGTAACTACATTGAAAATTCAGAACATACGTTAACTCGTTTACAAAAAAATTATTTTTGATTTGTTTTTATTTTATCATGAAATATACAGCACATTGTTTATTTCAAAAATTAATTGACAAAATGAATACAATTTCATGTTACTTTAAATGCAATTTTACTCTGCTTTTAATATTAATTTTAAATCATCACTTTGAAACTTTCCCAATAATATATAATCTATATTAAGTTCTGTAAGCGATAAATTAACTATATCTATCAATGTTTTAGTTGTAAATACTAAACCGTTAAAGGTATCATTTGATAATCTAGAATTGTTTTCATTAAAATTCCAAACTGATAACCAATCACAAAATTTTGTCAAAAAACTGAGACGAAAATCATTTACCTCACTAATTTCGTAGTTCCATTCATCATTTGTTTCATCTCCAGAAAATTTTTCTTTAGTGTTACAAATATCCCACCATTTCTTAATAACTTCGCAAAAATCTGCAGTTGATTGCATTTTTTCAATTTCTTTTAAAGTTTCGATTGTAGAATGATGGAAGATATTATCAACTAACTCAACATTTTGTCGTTGATTCCTTGATGGAAACAATGTTTTCTTATTTAGTTTATATGCTTTTTTAATTAAATAGCTTTCTTCTTGTTGAAATAGCTCCCGAATATGGGCAAAATTTGCATGCTTCATTTCATGTGTATCGAAATCGGAAAACAAGAAGGTCATATTTGGGGCGTACATCCAGTTATTTCTAATATTTTTGAATAAATTAACAGTGTCATAAAGCAAATAAATATTCCCTTTCCCATTTGGATTTGGAAAAAAATTTTCATTCTCTCCTGTCAGAATACTATACATGCCTTGATTAGTTTTAATATTGTCAGAAATAATTACTAAAACATGGAACCCTTTATTTTGAACAATATCAATTACACTCTTAGTAGTTTTTACTAAGTAATCCTCTGTAGGATTTGCAACTGGATATAATCGAATAATTTTTTTAAAATTACCAAATACAGACTTTACCATATAAGCTAAAATTGTTTTAGCAGTTTTAGGGGCATTATTCGCTTTTTCTGAATCTGCCTTTTCTGAATTGTTTTTGTTTGAGGTCTCTAATATTTCAGCATCAGGTTTTCCAGAAGCGTTGTTCGTTTTAGTTTTTTTCGAAGATTTGGTGGGGCTATTCGCTTTTTCAGCATCAGATTTTACCGGAACAGTATTTACTTTGTATTGATCTATATGTATTTCTTCTATTAAAATTGCTACAATTTTTTCTCTCTCTGTTAAAGATTGTGAAATATCTGCTATATACTCATCATCATTTTCATCATTTCTGTAAGTGGGAGTGGAGTGTAGTGTTGAAGATAATCTTTGAAGATGCCGCTTCGACGGTAAAGTAAGAAACTCACTAAGGATTAAATACGTAGATTTAGAATGTGCAAATATTAAAAAGGACATAACTATAGTTTCACAACTATATCTTGGTATTTTCATAATTAATAACTTAATTTGATCGATGACAGTGTCCAACTGTTTTGACTTTTTAAATGAACTATTCGCTTTTTTGAAATTATTAAGATAACGTAAAGCTTGTCCCAGCAGGTTAGACTGAGAATCAAGCTCTTGATCTACTATGTCGGAATTAGAATCAAAAAATATTATTAACTTTTTTAATTGAGACCAAAGTGTAAGTTTCATGTCTAAAGGTAATACATTTTCAAATTTTCTCACTGGTATCTCTGTTATCTCTGAAAAGCAACTGACTTTTAAATTGCTATCAATTTTTATTCTATATTTAAACTTGCATCCGAAATGGCTCTCTTCTTTCAAAAAATATAAAACAACATATGAACTATTTTTGTACAATAGCCACCCGTCAAATTTAACATTTTCATCGATTTTACTTAAGAAATTTTCAAAATCATTTATTTCATCGTCGTTTTTAAGAGGAACTTCTCTTTTAACAACTTTCAAGCTAGTATTACAAAGTAATATTTTTGATAAGCATGCCGGATAATTGTTGAATATGGTTGGTATAGCGTCATCTTTTAGACGTCTTCGCTTATTTGGTTTTTTAGCGAAACATTCTTCTGCAAAATGCAAATAACACACGGCACTGTGTTTACTTGGTACCCAATTTTCCCTTGGGATTGCATTGATCCATGCTTTTCGTAAACGTTTATCAGTTGGAAATTGAAAAGTAGAAACATGCTTTGGTGTGGAATCATAATTTGATTTACAGCCAGGAATAGAACATTTTCGCACCATATTTGTACCAGTAGAGAAAAGTTAGTTATGTTTATTAAAAACAAATAAAAATTAGATTGTATATACCAAAACACCAATATTTTTTTCTTCAACGTTTAAATTATAAAAATCATTATTTTTAATATGAAAATCGAAATCCACTAGATTATCAGTGAAAAACAATAACCTTTAATGTTTTTCTTTTTGTAATAATGAAAATACCGGGAAATATACTTATATTTAATATTTTAATTAATTGTTAGATAAGTTCAAACATGAAAGATTTATATAAATTTAATCACTTTCTTTGCACTTTTGCACATAATTTTAAAAAATATTAGTTAACTTTTTTTCATTGTTTAACATTCGTCAAAATGTTACATTATTCTTATGAATTAACGGAGTCTAATAGAAAACTAGTTTGCTACGACTTGGAACGGTTTTCTGAATTCTAATTAAATTAAGATTTCCCAAAAATTTTTATAATTTTTTCCAAATAACTCGAAAAATTAATATCGATAAAAAGTGCAATATTTGCGCTTAAATGATATAAAATAACTTTCAGTAAAGTCATTTTGACAGCATAATATGACATTCATTTCATTGACAGTATAATATGACATTCATTTCATATGATACACCGCAGGGATGCTTCAACTAATTTATCTTAAGATGCACATACGTATTTCGTTACGATATTGAACTGAGAGTTACTTTCACTTAAAAAAATTTGCTTAAAATAACTGTTTTCAATTTTAAATTCTCTTTTAAAATTTTTTGCCTAAAAAATATGCACATTGTAATTTTATAAAAACTATGAATAAAACATTAAATTTAGATGCAGTAAAAGAACCAGAAATGGTTCACGAAGTAACTTAAGAAGTAAACCAATATCAAATTGTATAAAAATTCATATAATTCAAATACAAAAAATATGATATAATAGTAAATTTTTCAAAAGATTTATTATAATATCGGTAGAATAATAACATAATTCTAAAAACAAAAATTAGGAAGAATACACACGCAAATGTGAAGAAATATTTAGGTTTAAAAATTAAATGGAATCTGATGAAAATGTATGTTGAATACATATTTATATAGCAAAAATCTTTTCACTCGCAAAATGTTTTCAATCAATTTTAAACGGTTTTCATTGCGTTTTTTTAAAGCTAACCATTCTTGGTTTTCAGTTACTATCATAAATTATTTCTTGAAACTTACAACAATTGTCTAACATGGTTGTAGTGTACCCAAAAATTTTATGACAAAATTACTAAACATAACGTACATCTCGCACATTTGCGAGAACAATAACATAAAACAAAATGCAGAATCGCAACCATGCTTTTATTGCTATTATATTTTAATATTTTATGTATGTATGTAGATATAAAGCTTTTCTGTAACAAAATAATACAGAAAATTTGTTCATATACTTGTAGAATAATAGTTCTATGCCAATGTTTTTTAGCCTTCGATAGTAATTTATTTGACTATAAATAAATTCCTAGAGTTGAAGTTATATTTTGGGTTGTGTTGTTATTCTTTACAACTTGCGATATGTACTTAGGTGTACCATTTTTTTTTTTGAGTTTTTTTAATAACCGCATTGTATAAACCAAAGTATATCTATTAATAAGTAGTTCGACTCTCCGTTTACATCACACTAATGCAATCACTCACCAATTTTTGTATACAAAAAATTCCATTAAAAGAGTTAAGCAGTATACCTTCTTATTTTCATTTTTATACACATAAGTATTTTTGGGAGAGGGAAAGAGAAGGCAATAGATGTCTACGTGTTTTTTTATAATGTATTTTTAAAAGCGGGAGTTATTTATTTTTTCGTATAAAAAGTATAGGAAAAAATATTAAGAATTTTAAAAGCGGGAGTTTTATTTTTGTAACTTAGTCCAGTACAAGGTGGCAAAAAAGGTGTATCATGTTACAAAAGCGAAGAGGTAAAAATGTGTTTAAAAAAATTATTATAATTTATATAATATAATTTTGAAAAATAATAAAAATAAATTTTAACAAGACGTATAATATTAAAATAAAAAGCATATCTCCTATGAATCGGTAATGATTATATTTCATAAAGTGTTAATCAGTATTCATACACTTTTTTTTTAATAAATTACTTTATTTCTATGTCACTGCCTGATACTATGTATCTACTGTAATAAAATGAAATTAACTTTAATAAAATGAAAAATAAATTTTGTTATTATCAAAATAAAAATAACAAAATTTTTACCTAACTTAATTAAATTTTATTTCAGTTCAATGTTTTTGATACACTTACGTTTGTTTACAATATTTTGTTTCTTTCTTGCCTACACAACTCTTTTTACCATCTATTTCTAAATAAAAATGGAATATTTAAGAATTTGGAAGCAAAATGCATACGAAAACTAACGGAATAGAACGAATCGAACTACTTATTATAGATATATTTTGGTGTAAACTTTAAGGTAGGTCATATGAAAGCAAGAAATTTTGCATATTGAGTTTTTGGTGCGAACGCACTTCTCCATGGTAGGGAAGTGTAAATAAACTATTTTTAGCATCCTGTCGGGCTGTGTGTGAACGCATGTATCTCAAGTTCGGGTGAACCGATTTTGATGAAATTTTATATGTAAGTTTGTTTCGATTATGGCACGAATTGATCAACTTTTGCGATATATCACGCTTCCGGAACTGCACTTTTTAGCGGGCCTGTTTTACATTTTTGATCATTATGAAGAAAATATCGGATTACGTGAAATTTCATATACATATGTATAAACTTCATTTGACCGTACGCGGAACCTCCTAACTTTTGGCAGAAATCAGAAAATTTAATATTTAAATTCTTCGTACTAAAACAATGAACATTTAAATTATTTGCAAAGAGCAGGGCTCGAAAACTCATGTGAGGGCCGATTTTACATTTTTTACCGTATATACGGAACGCATTGATTGAATTTCTTGCCATTTGATATTTGAGTTCTGGTTGTTACCGAAATTAACTGGCGAGCATTTCAGGAAATTCGGGTAGCACAAAGCGAAACTGTACTAACAGCCAAATAAACATTTTTCTAATTTTCCTCAATTCTAATTATTGCCTTGAACATTGAAAATGATTTAACAGGCATTTTTATAATATTCTGTAACACTTTCACTTAACTAGACAATACACATTGCGGTCGGTTATGTGCCGACACATCAGATTTTCGCATATTTTTGTAATCATTATCGAAAATTTATTGAAATATTTTGTTCATGAACGAGAAAATGTCAAAACTAAAATATTTATGGATTCACCTAGTAACCTACATAAAGATATGTTTTCGGATTTAACTACATCATGTGGACTAAATAATCCAAAATTGAACTACGAGTTATGCATTAATTTCTTTTTGTAAATTCAAAAATTTTTTATCACATTTTACATATTATAGAATAACTTAATACATACATAATATGTGTTTATGTGTGGTCAATATTTTGCTGAAAGGCTTTTTTTATATACATATATTAGAAATATTGTTTTTAATATTATTTAAGTAAATAGCATACAAATAACAAACTATTTATTTAGAAATTGTTTTATTTCTTAGACTTATTCACAATTTTCAAAATCTGTGTTATTTCTGTTGATTAAAATTATTTCTTGAAGGTTAAATAATAATTTAATTTAACTAATGTTTTATTTAATGTTGCAATTTTACAAAAGCTATATGGATCTAAGTAATCATAATATTACACATTTTTGTGTTTTTTTTTATTTCGACTAGAAATTAATATCTAGTTTCATAGAATTCCTAAATTTCTTACATTTTATTTCGATTTTTCTTTTATTTTTAGAATTCGATATAAACTATATTAAACTACCCTAATAGTGTTAATTATATTATAAACTGTAATAACAGCAATTCGAATAGTTAACGAATGGTTAAAAATTTATCGCTTACATAATACCAATTTGTTTGAATTAATATATCTCAGTTCAAGTTATTTAAAATAGTATTAAATTTAAAAAAAGCGCTAATTCATTACAAATGTAGGTTGATATGTGTTATGACAAGAAAATTGTATTACAGGATTGTAATCAGCATTTGCAAACTAAATTTCCTTTTTCTCCTACTTGAAAATTACAAGTTAAAGTGCGATTAAGCTCAACAAAACCAGTTTAAAATTTTCAAATGAATTTCTTTTATTCAGACCAAAAAAGAATTAAGAACACATTAAAGAAGTCAGATTTTAAAATATTGTATAGTTTAACTTTTTAAAAAAAAGTATAAAATTTATGAAAAAAATATTTAATAAAACAAGCATGTTGCTCTAAGGTTTAATTATTTGAAATAAGAGGAAATTAAACTATTATACATACATATTTTAAATTAAACACAACTTTACTCAGACCATGCTAAGTACATACTCAAATTTCATAAAACACACAACCTTAAATAGTACATAAACTAAATTTAATAAAATGTTAATAAAATTTCATAACAAAAATTTTTATAAGATTTCAAATAGATAGATGCTCGCGATAAATTTTAGAAATATAAAATTTTTAGAATGTTTTATATAATATACATTATGTTATATGTTTTATTAATTTTGTAAAAATTATTAAAAATGATAATTAACCCCAATTTACCTTATAATTATTTATTGTTAAATAATATCCATTTAAAAAATACCAATACCCAATCAAAACATCTTAAAATATTAGTTAAAAAGTTGAAGTTTTAATAAATTAAAAAATTTAGTGAAATTATCATATGTATGTACATACATTAATTTTATTTACTTTTAAGATTTTAATAGGCAGTGCAATAGTTCAGAAACTCATTCAAATTTATATCTTTTTTTAATTATCTTAATTCTTTTAATAGATTGGTATTGATTGAAATTATTCAGAGTGAGAATTAATGTAAAATTAATAATGTTATTAATTCAATATGTTTTTGTTTTTGTAAGAATTACAGTCCTTATCATTTATCAAATTAGTTTTCAAGCTAACTTTAAATATCTGTGTAGTATTATAAGTTTAAATTAAGTTACAAAAATTTATTACAAACCATAATATGAAATATTGAAATGTTTGTATTAAATGTAATAAAAGAGCAAAATTCTAAAATAGTATAATACATAGTAATGTTTTTGTCGTAAAGCAATACTAATTATTGATAGAAAACTAGTACAAATTTGAGACCATATATTATTTTAAGCTAAAATCATAAGCATTTGCTTACTCAACCCATGTAACATGATATATGTTCTCATATAAAATTTTTAGCAATATACTGTCACATACTTTTATAATATTTAAATTTATTACATTATTTTTCACATTTTTACAGAATTCAACACGAATATATGTGTGTATATATATTTTTTTGTTGTGATTTTAATAAACATATGCTTTTCACTTACATAATAAATAGAAAAAAAAATTAAATATCACGATTTATTATGTTTCATAAAGTAAAGTATAATTTTGGAATAAAAATAGAGAGATTCTATAATATAGAAATTTTTTTTTAGAGAAAATATTTTTGTATTAGATAACCTTTATATAATTAAACTTCATTCTTTGATTTGTAAGGATATCACATTCAAAAATTGAATTTCTAAATCTAAAAATAATCTAAAAATCTACAAATAATCTAAAAATAGGTTTTAAATAAAAAATAAGTTTTACTAACTTTTTCGTAATTATTAAAAGCTAATTGAAGTTTTAAGTCCTCACATCAAATCAATTCTTTTAATTATGTTATTTGAAATTTTTATTTTGTGGTAAACTATCAAATTTTCATATATTTTAGCAAATCAAATCGTAATGCTATTAAAAATTTAAAGTACATTCTACTCAATTATTACGAATAGGTAGTAAATGTGCTTCAGAGTTAAATACAAACTTTTCTAAATCAATTTCGTGTGGATCATCGTTGAAAAGTAAATAAAAATATTTTAAAGTTTCACTTAGCCAAAAACTTTCCATCATATCCCGTGGCCTAGTATTAAATATACTTTTTACATTACCAATTGAAGTGTAACCACTTTTAACTTTTGTATACTTTTCAAAAGCTTCAAAAATATTCCAACCCATGTCTTGATATGTTCTATTACCAGTTAAAGCATAAAAATAATATAAACTTTCAATAAACTCTGGGCGTAGTAAATTATGGGCATCATTTGATTTTACTTGAATATCTGAGTCACCCTCGTTGTTAGTTAAACTGAAATAAGATATTTCAGGAGCCAAATGAGTTGGCTGTTTCATATATGTTTGATAACAAGTTTCAAGTAAGTCCTTAGCAAGTTGTAAATGAGAATCAGGCATGCCATTTTTATATCCTAGCAATAACGTCCCTGGTAAATAACATGTTAAATGATCCATTTTAGGTTTGAAATCTTTTCCATTTAGAAGCTCCCCTACAAAAGTGTGACCCTCTCGAGGAGTTTTTCGAACTAATTGGCTCAAAACGCCTGATATAGCGTTAGCATAATCTTGTATTAAACTAAAATATTAAAATTTTTATTATAGCAAATGTAGTATGTTAATAATTTTTGTTTTTACTAATCATTTTCTTTCTTTCCAGTCTGCAGCCACTGTTTAAGCAAATATTCATAGTACGAGTCACCACGTGCTCCTAATGATATAGTTGCGAAGTTGCGGAAAGTTCCAGTATTGGCGTCAATAAAAATTGGAACTAATCCATTTTGCTTCTCCAAAGAATGTACGATTTCATTTACGCGGTTAGCAACCTAAATTTTTAAAGTTTATTAGAGTTCTTTGTGATAGTTAAAGAAAAAAGAAAATACTGTGCATACACATATATATATATATATTTTTTTTGTTTTTAAACAATATTTGATGTACCGCAGGTTTTTGCCTATGCCACCTACCTGTTCAAAAATACTGTTTCCAGTACTTCTTGATAAATCACGAAACTCCAACTGTAAAGTTGTAACTTCACTAGTTGAGCTATCGGGAGACCACTTCGGTGAATGGGCTGTCCTTGTTGCTAAATTCACATCTGAATAAGGGATTCCAGAAGGAGAGTCAAAACAAGGTAGCAATCGGTTCCCGAGATCAACCTTCATTTGCGAAAAATAAATACTTTAAAAAACTGAAATATTAAATATTACCGATTTATTTAAAAACATTTTTTCTCCACTCAAGTGATATGCACTTAGCAATCCACCAAGAACTCTGATAGTAACTTCAAAAAGGTTAACATCGCGGTTTATATCAAAATGTAGATAACGGTCCACCCAAGCTTTAGCTTCGTCAAATTCTAAACGATGGCAATTGCAATTATATTAAAAAAATACAGTTGCCTTTAACATTACCTTCTTGCAAGTCCATTATATAAAGGGTATCAAGAGAATCTACAATGGTTAATCCTAATCCAAACCAATCGAAGGTACTCATTGAAACGGGTTTAAGATTATCATGTCCCCAGGCATATTCCTTGTAACCTCTCCAAGAATGTTGAAATGCTTCTACAACAGCTTTTTCTCGGTCATTTATTGGACCTCTAAAGTCTTTAGCTGCAGTTGATCGTATTTTGCTTAAATCTATAGTAATCGCATGTCTGTTTGATCTAGCTTTGGTAAAATCGGTTTTTTCTACAGCGATTTCCTGAACGTTTTTGATTTCTTCATTATTGGAAAGATCAGGCGCATCTAGTGAATTTAAAACTCCAGAATCATAAACCTTATTGCGGTTTTCGCCATTTTCTTTTATAATTGGTTTACTTTCAGTCCCATGTGCAGTTTCCTCGTCTTCAACAGGCTTTGGAAATTGATTTTGAGAACCATCTTGGAGAGAATGTCCAAAAGTCTACATTATTTAAAAAATTTTATTTAAATTTTTTTTAAAAATGTTATAAATGAAATCAGAATCTAATTAGGTCATAAATCATAATTCTAGACCAACTTATTTTGAGTTAGATTTTAAGACATACTTACATCATCTTTCAGAGGCTGTATATTAATATGGTTTGGTTCTTTATTGCTAGCTGTATCAGTTATAATGGGTTCCGATGGTAAAAATAAAGCGATCAATATTATGCACGACGCCAAAACGGCCAATAATATTAAATTTTTTTGACATCTTGGCAATTGATTCCATATCTACAAAATATCAAGTCAAAGGTTATCAGAAAAATTGCATAAATTTTTTTTATACCCTTCTAAAACTTTTACGTTGTGTATGAGATCCGACTATTCCAATATTTAGTGCGACGTGACTTTTTTCATCTATCATTTTTTTGTTTCCTATACTCTTCTTACTTTTACGCGTTATATTTTAGTCCTATGGAGGACTTAATCTTTTTTTATATTAATTTGCCACAGATATATGAAAGCATTTTTAAATACACTGCCTATATTTCTAAAACTTCTTTATTTTTATTCAAATTTTAAATATAAGGTACTAATTGAACAATTCATGTGCGGTCAAAACATTGAAATTTGAACTGAATAAGCAATAAGGAATGTTTGACAGACAATTACTGACAAATGCTAGAATAACAGTGACTTCTAAATGCTGTTAACCAAAATATGCAGCAAACTTACTGTTCAGTTTTCAAGTTTTACGAAAACTTTTCAAATTTGTGTTAATTTGCTCATATTATGTGCTTTTTATGGTTAATAGAAGAGTTTCATGTATATTCATATGAACAAACAATAAAAAGTGTTGTTTTTTAACTTATATTTCAGTTGCTTTTATCACTTTAAGTTTAAAAGCAAAATATTTTCGGTCCGTTGCAATTAACTAAAAATGTTATTTGTTATATGTTTATTGAAATTGGTTTCTATGTATTAAAGAAAAATTGTGTTCAAGTGTACAATCTTAAGTTAAAATTGCAGTAACAGCAGTTTTTTTTGTTCCTAGCTCGGTATAACTTTTGAAACAGAAAACTACTGATAAAAGTAAAGGTGTTCACTTATTTACATAACATACATTAGACGAAGTTACATACAATTTGTGCTTTTTGATTTTGACATTTGTTGCAAAATTTTTTTTTTCCTGCATTGATATTTTAAGGCCGTTCCCGAATCCAACGAATTGGTAATACTAAAGGAAAAAGCATCTTTGTTTCTATATTGCTTGCATTAGCTAAAAAATAGTATCTTGAAAACAAAACTTTAGGTAAGTCCCTATTTTTCTTCTAAGCATTTTCAAATTGAAGAGCGACTTTTTTCCTTTACAGTTTTTAAAATTAAAAATAGCTTGCAAAATAAAATGTAAAAACAGTGGAGTGTAGAAGCCTTGTTGTTTAAAATTGAAACATTAAGAAAACAAGAAGTTCTAAACAATATTTCTTTGCATCCTCGAAACGTTTTTTGTATATTGTACTAACGAGAGAGAGAGTTGAAAAGATAAGTAATTTTGAACATATTATTTTCCTAACTTACGATTTTTTAATATCAAAAGGTTTTATTATGGAGCATAAATTAAAAAGGCCAACCCTTTTTCTGTCTTTCATATATTTTCCGAAATTTATTAACGTAAGTTCTTAGGTACAAAATGAAGAATGTATATCAACTTAAAATATGATTTTCGTCATTTTTCATTCTTCTTTTAATTTTATGCTACCCAAACAGTATCGCGTTTGGCACTTCAATACGTTGAAAAAAAGTTTATCAACACTCACATTTGAACATGTAGTACGTAATGTAGTTTCATACGTCATCCACAAAAATTGAAATTTTTCATATTTTTTACAACCAAGTTTCAAACTTCAAATGGTTATTTAGCTAGTTCACTAACCATTTAACGTGTTGGAAACTTGCTATATTTTCGATGTGTTGAAGAATTTGTTCAAACAAGCCTGGCAGAAATATATTTTGTCAGGTTGATATTTTTGTAATGTCAATGTAGTGGGTATAAAATATTATCTTTATTAGGTTGAAAGCAGAATCATAGCGAATTTTTGCTACCAAAATACTGTACAAGTGATTTTGCCGTTCCGCTGTAGTTTTGATTTAACAAGGGAAATCGTCCGCCATTGCCGTTCAGCGCTTTGATTTTTTGTAATTTTCGAACGTTTACCGAATGATTACCTCGATAAATTATTGAGAAGAAAGTTACAAAAAAATACAAAAGGTTCTTTCACGAAATCGCATTAAATTATCTTATAAAAATCTTATAAATTATCTTATAAAAATTAAATTATCTTCAGTTATCTTATAAAAAAATTGTAAGCTTTATCTCGGAAGAGTATTTTTTTTCATCATGAGTTATTATTAAATGTATTGACAAGTGTTAATATTAACATAAACTATACTTTGACATTATCATAAATTAGATCAGTTATTTAAAACTCAAAGTTTATTATTTATTAAAGTTAAACTAAGTTATTTTTTAATTTTTGTCTCGGAAAGATTTAAAAGCTTTACTAATGTACTGGAATATTTCAAATTTTTTGCTCAACTGCCAAGAAAATTTTGTTACCAGTTATATGAGCAAATAATTTGAACAAATTTGAAAAAATGAGCAAATCAAAAATAGACAAAGTTATCTTTTTAAAAAAATCATGTATTTTTAAAAAAATGAACAAAACAAACACCTACGATATTATAACCAGTAATTTGTCATTCAGAAAAAATGTTGTACAAACTCATACAGTAAATATTATACAAACTTGTTTGCTAATAACTTGCCTATGTAAACGCTTAGTATAATTTAGACACACTGGACTAAAAGCTTATATACTGGTATATATTCAGGTACACTGGTACATTGGAAGACTTCTGGGCGATGTTGACAATTGAATGAAGTTTGAAATGTTTGACAGAATATTTGACTTTTGAGACCGTGTTGACATTCATCGTTCATGTTTATTTACAAAGCCATTAACACATAATTTTGTAATACATAGTTATAATTTTCTGAAAACTGCATGCAGTGTAGTCGTAAATATGTATATGTGATTTGTTTTATTTTCATTAAAAATTAAAAAAAAAAAGATATTTTAAAATTCTTGTTAAGGTTTTAACATTGATTTTATGTGATTTTAATGTATGTATCAGCAAGCATTTTACCTGAGCAAAATACATTTAAAAAATATAAATTGTGCTTAAAAATTTACATGTACCTAATTATTTTGGTCGGAAATGAGTTTTGGAAAGAGTTCGGACTTATTAATTAGGTCCGAAACAGAAGATAATATAACGTCCTCTACAAATTCATTGTTTAGGCGTACTGATAGTGTTCAATCTATTAACAATGCAACAAGTGTACAAGAAGTTAAAAAACGCCCTGGTAAGTAATATGTATAATTAATATTACAAGAAAAATTCCAATTTTAGTTTATTTCTGAACTGCTTATTTACGTGTAATATGTCAAAAAGTTATATGTTTGCCTAGGTACCTACCCAATTGTGCTAGAAATTTAACATATTCAAATATATTAAAAATTATGGATTCTTGGTAAGTATTATGGTGATAAAAATAGAACAAACATTCAAAAATTCAATGCTTTTATAACCAAGTAAAGTTATAAAAGCAATGAACCATTAGTTAGTTTATCTCAAGTGCAACGTAATTACCTACCAACTAAATTGGATTTTTAAATCTATCTATTTACTTTAAATCATAGTGATATGCATATATATACGCACCTTTATGGCATTATTCAGGTCAAATTTTTTGATGTGATTACGAAAAAGAATCAGAAGTGTATTTTAAAGAATTTTGCGGGCTATTTTAAACCGAAAAAAATACCCTTCCAACTTAAAAATATATGTATATGTATATGTATATGTATATGTATATATATATATATTTGATACTAGTTAGACACGGATAACAACTACATTTGATTGTTCAATTTATTAATTAAATTATTAGGTATTATTCATAATCAAATCGAAAAACTTGGAGCCAGTTTTTGCGTCCTTAATAACAAATTGAAAATGATGCTTGAAACTTTAAACCAATAAATTTAAAACAATGCACAATTTTATATTGATTCACAAAGAATAAAGTAAAGAAATACAAACAATCCAAAGATTAAAATAGGTACCTACTTACAAACAATTTAAGAAGTTTGCTTTTTTAAGTTTGATATTTAAAAACTTCAAAATGTTATTTTAGTTCTAAATGTTAATTTAAATATTTTAATATCTCTTAATAAAAAACTAAACTATAGAATAGGATTGTTTACAGCAACATTAAACCTGAGACTGTTTTGTTTTTAGTGAAATAAATATAAGAAACTTAGGACTCATTAATCTAATTAAATGAGTCTTAGACTTCCATTAAACAAACGATGTTTTTAAGTTCACTTATAAATTCAAGTTTCACGATCTAAATTAAGGTTACAGATTTCAAAATGCGAAAATTTTAATAGATAAAATTAATATTTTATTGCAGATGTTAATTAATTTCTTTTTTATTTGCTATAATAATGCTTTGCTATGAGATTTATATTTAAAATAAAGAGCAGTAACAGTTCTTTAGGCGCGTATAGTTTTACCTCGTGGATTTTTAATACAAAGTTATTATTTATATTGAGTGTCGAATTTATATATGTATGTATAGCATAATTTTTTATTTATTAAATAGAATATAAACCAAAGATCCAATTTCATTAAATTCAAAACAAAAAAGCCTGACTGGTTTACTAAACCTCTCCAACAAAATTAAAGTTGACAAAAAAATTTAAGGAAAAAATATTTCTGAAGTCAGAATGTTTTTAATTTTCAAATTTTATAGAAAAATGTTATTGTAAACACCTTGATTAGCGGCCAAGGGAATGTTTTTTTTAAGATCGAAAGAATAAGTCCTTTAAAACATTTTTAAAATATTAGATCGACCGCTTTAAAATGAATATTTCAATGAATGAAAAAGTGCAAGAACATCAATAAGCACATACCGTTTACATTTTTGCAATAATACGTACAAATGTCATTATAATATAAAATAAATAAAACAAATGCAAGTTTCACTCATTTTGCACTCAAACAGAATGCCATTTCAAACTTCTAAAAAATTTTTACTCAAAACACAATTTTTGAGTTGAATCGTATTTTGTGCTGTCTAATTTTAAGGAAAAATCGATACTTAACTCCAAAAGTCTTATTGAAAACGAAGTTTTTTTTCACATTAAATACAAAAAAATTGCTAAAATATAGTTTTAATAATTAATAACTAATTAAAAACTTTAAATTGTATAAAGTAACCAAATAAAAAGAAATGTTGTTTTTCTTTTTAAACATTCTCAATTTCTTTAAAGCAAAAATTTTGATAAAATGATTATTGATTTTTTAAACGAAATTTGTTATTTCTTAAATACATTTTTGCAAAATATTAGAAGACGAAATATATAGAATCGTATAAAGTTATAATAAACTTTAATTCCTTCAAAAATTAATTAAAAAAGAATAAAACTTTAATATTGAAGTGTCAAAACATTTTCACAAATTGATATTATCAGAAATTCCAAAATTAAAAAAAAAAAAAGAAAAAAATAAAAGGAAAAATGCAAGGCAATAACGATAATGGAGTGACTACAATTGCATTACCAAAACCTCAGCACGCTAACTGTTCACATGGTCATGAAGAAATTTCTACTGGTGCACAAGATACCATTTATTTGTGTAATTTCCGGGTATCTGTTGATGGTGAATGGTTATGTTTAAAAGAATTACAGGATTTAGATATACAAGATGGAAAAAAATCAAATATTGAATATGCAAATGGTACTGGAGGAAACTCAAATTTTGGTACAAGAAATAGTAACAATCGCTTAATTGAACGTGCTTCTACCACTGATACTTTAAATAAATGCGACCGTGATTATTGGGTTAATTATTATTGTAGGTGCCTTTTTTATTGCAAAACTTCAAAAAAATTTTTTTTGAATCACATTTTATGTTTATATTATTTTAAATATTACGTTTTCATTTTTTATAGTCGAATGAAGTTTATTTTCATGACATATTTAATAGCAGTTCATTTGTAGTTGTTTAAATTTGGAATTAATTTAATAAAGTTTTCTAAGTTTAATTCAATTAATTGGGTAAGCATTGTCTTCCTTTTAATTCTTTTGCTTACGTAAATAAAATTTTATATAAAATACTTTTATTTTGAATGCAATAATTGAATGGTTTAGAAAATCATCGTTGTGGAAGAATTGGTTTTATTTAAAAATGAGGTACCTTTCACTCAAAAATAGATTTTTTAAAGAAACGAACCTGTGATAATAATCGATATTGTATGAAAGGGTTCAATAATTTTTACGAAGGAAAAATTTCTTCTTTAAATTTATAAATTTTTCACATTTTTGTTACAAAATTATGCTTTTATACAATAATATAAAAGGGCAACTTAAGAAAACTCATATAATATTATTTTACAATTTTGTGCAAAGTTTAAATAAAATATAAATTAGAATTAATAACAGAACTTCGAAACAAATAAAAAATATATGTACAAGTATACGAAAAAATTAAATAAAAGTATTTAAAAAAAATGCAGTTATGAAACATTAACTCTGTTCCAACTTTGGAATGCTTCAAATTCATTGTCTTTTGTAATTATGCCCTTAAAAAAAACAAAATTAACAATTAAAATTGGCCCAAAATCTGGGCTTTATTTTTTTTGTTACGGGAAATATTACGTGGAATATTTGTTAGCCGTGGTAATTTACTTTTTCTCAAAGCATTAACGGTATTGCAAGCTGAAATTGAATCCTTCGCTTTATCTTTTTTTGAAAATTTATCTAACAGACGTTTTCTTCGTTCAACTTGTGGAACTTCATTGACAAATGTAACTTTTGCATTTTTATTGTTTTGTGGATCTTTTAATTGCAGTTTTTCATTGACATCATCTTGAAATGCTAAATTTTGATTATAATTAATATTATTTTTTTGCATACTAATTTCTGTCTCTGATTCTGGTAATGCATTATGAAATGTTGAATTTGTTTTAATATCTGCTTTTAAAATATTTTCATTTGATTCATGTTTGATAGGTGAACTTAAAGATTCACTTGATGATATAAGTTCTGGAATTTTTTGCTGTTTAAATTTTCGAAAGCATGAACATTTTAAGCATCTTTTTCTTTTGTAAAATTTAAGCTTTTCATCTTCAGACGGCATAACTGATGGACTGTCAGAAGTTAAAATAATTTCATCTTCAAATTTTTTCTTTTCACTTATGTTCTTCTTTTCTTTCATTAAAGTCACGTTTTTATATTGGTTACATTCGCAATCATCAAGATTATTTTTTAAGTGTTTTTTTGGGTTTGAACTTTTCCAAGTATTTTTTGTATTTAATTTTGTGAAGTGTTTTTTTACTATTAAAATGATGATAACTATTAAAAAAAGAATGCTCACAATTGAAAATATCATTAAATAGTTATTTTTACTAATTTCTTTCATGTCTTTTGTGATATCTATATTATCGCTATTGTTTCTTTCATTATCGTTGTTTTCATTAACATTTTCGGAGGATTCTAGCATGTTGATATCCTCAAAGATTTCATCATATGAATTTTTCTTTTCCTGCCTTTTTTCCTTTGTTTCTTTCTTTAAATTTTCATAAACGCTTGATTTATGGTTTGGAAATACCAACTCTTTTAAAATTTTATCTGAGAATTTCTTGGATTTCACAAATTTTGGGAACGAATCATTTTTGTAATTATTGTTAATATTAATATTTGTATAATTTTTCAATGTCATGAAAATCCTTAATGAACCTGCTAGAGCTGGATATAAATCATTATCAGATAAATATTTTAATACATTTTCCTTATACCAATGTTGAAATAGGTTTTTGAAATTTTCTGGATTCAAATCTAAAGAATCATAGCATCTTATTACTAAAGTATAATATTTAAGTAATATAAAAGAGGAAAAGTCAGATTTTAAACTGTAGAATTGCTTTTTCACGAATGGTATCCAAATAATATTTAATTCGCTTTTAAAATTAACTAAGTTTAATCTTGGTAAATCTATTATTAAATTCTTTTCATATAATAGAGGATCTGATAAAACGAGATATTTGCATGGATATTCACTATATTTATTGAAATTTATTTGAAGATTTTCAATTTCATTAATAACATTAAAAAGAAAATTTGATTTAAACTTCCATCCTAAGCCTAATGTATTTAAATAAATTGAGCAATATTGAAGAAATTCGTGAATATTTTCAACAGTATTTCTATTTAATGTTCCAGCATAAAAGGATATTTTAGCCAAAGGATGTAAATACGAATACGTGTATCTAAAGAGTTTTATTTTTTATTTTTCTTTGCTTTCGTATATATGTAGAATAAATTTTTCTTACCCCCCTACTACATCAAAAAAGGCCTGTTCTGCATAAATTCTAGCTTCATTTTCCGTTCTTTTCAAAATTATTTGATGTGATTGAAGAAAATATCTCATTAATGATTTGACAAAATTTTCATTTATTAAATTTATTGAAGATTCTTTTGGAATAATGTTCTAAAATATATACATATGTACATATGTATTTTTATATGTCAGTGGCAATATTTTATTGTAATATTTTTAAAAATAGTTTATTGTAATATATTACCTCCAGTTCTCTCCTTAAATACAACAAAGACATATTTTCTCTTGAAAAACACTTCTTAGTGAGCCCTTGGCTACCAAACAAATTTGTTCCTATTGAATATTTGTACTTAGTTTCACATATCTTCTGCAAATCAGATCCAAAGTTTTTGTTTAATGTATTAGAGCTTGTTTTCAAGCTATTCGACATCAAAATAATATTTAATAAAATAAATGAAATTAATTGTAAAAAATAAATGAATATATTCATAATTCGTCATGTCATTATAAAATTTTGATCTTAAAAATAATTTGAAATTAATTTAAAATCTACTCAAATTGTTGTAAAATGAATAATAATAAATTTTTCAAAAAGTGATCTGTTTATTTTTTTTTCAATTTAAGCTAAAACATTGAGCAAGTAAATAAATAAATACTTGTTGTATTTTTAGTTTTTGCTTTCAAAAAACTTATTTAAGTTGTTGTTTTTGATATCTGAAAGTTTAATCCTAAAAATATGATGTGGACAAAATAATAAATTTAACAGTGTTAAAAGAGCTGCAATAATGTTTTAGTTAAGGTCTCAATTTATTTGTTTTAAACGTAATTTTTTCTATTACCACATTTATATTTTTGAGCTATTTGTTTTAGTAATGGTATTAGTTGTTTTATTAAAACTAATTTTTTTATAAAATAAAGGCTATGTTTGATAAGATGTTTTGATAACGCAAAAATTATTATTCATTTGTTTACCAGTGATTTGACTAGTTTATATTTGTATTACATATACATACATACAATAGAACTGCGTTAATCGGTACAACTATTATATTTTTCCAAAAAATGTAACCAGCTTTATTTTTGTATATGAAATAACTGTGTACGGGATGCAGTCTGAGTAAAAATTTTTGTTAAATTCTATTACTAAAACTTTGTTATAATCCATGCACTTTTCTACTGTTTAAAATTCATGATGTTGCTATCGTTAAACTGTCTTTTTCTTCATTACTTGAATAATTTATTTCAATTTTAAATATGCATGCACTTTTATAATTTTTTAGTTAATTTAGGCAAATTAGCTTTCACTAAATTCTTTACTTTATGTTAAAACAATTTAAAGTGATTTAACGTAAAGTAATTTTATGTGAAATATGAATATTTTGACACTAATATAAATAAATCATTAGGCTTATATAACAACAATAATCTTGTAAAAATTTTGTAAATCAATCAACTACCTTAAACTTTTTTAATATATAAATAGAAAACTTTACACAATTTTTGTTTTTTTGCATGAAATTTTGTAATCTTTTATGATGTTTTAAATATTTCTAAATTTTTGTTATGTATGTAAAACGTATTTGTTCGTTATTGCAATGTTAAGTTTTTATTTGCGAAACGTTTATAAAATAAGAACAAAATACTTAACCCAAAAGAAATTTTTTTTTGAATGAGAATTTAAATTTAAGTTTAAATTATTTAATCTTCAAATTTATCAATAAATTATTCACGTATAATATTGAAAAGTTTAATACAATAAATTTCGCTAAGAGCACTGTCATATTTCTAAGGATTTTTAATTTGTTATTTAAAGCAAGAGATCCCGCTTCCATTGAACGAAGTAATCTAGTTAATATATGTAAATTAGTTGTGAAAGAATTACTTGAACAATCTTTACGTTATGGGCGAATGTTGGATTCAGATCATTTACCATTACAACATTTTTTTATAGTTTTGGAGCATGTATTAAGACATGGATTGAGACCTAAAAAGGTACGTCTATAATTTTGAAAAAGTTAAAATATAAAAAAATATTAAAGTGAATAATATTACATGAATTACATAATTGTTTTAAATTATTTTTAGGGTCTTCTTGGTCCAAAAAAAGAATTGTGGGATTTATTACAATCGGTTGAAAAATATTGCATAGAAGCACAAGATGTTACAGCAAGTGTACGAGATCTTCCAACCGTTCGTACACATATTGGTAGAGCAAGAGCATGGTTGCGTATTGCGCTAATGCAAAAGAAATTAGCTGATTATTTACAACCTTTAATTGAACATAGAGATGATGCATTAGCTGAGTACTATGAGCCTCATGCTTTAATGATGAGTGATGAAGTTAGTTGTCTCGTTTTATTGTAGTTATATTCAAATATTTTTAATAATATATTTCGGTATTTTAAGGTGATTGTAATTATGGGAATTTTAGTTGGATTAAATGTTATTGATTGTAATTTATGTGTTAAGGAGGAAGATTTAGATTCACAACAAGGTGTTATTGATTTTTCTTTGTATTTACGTTCAAGTTCAAGGTGAATATTTCATTAAAATATAAGAATATATTTTGAAAGAAAAATTCAAAAAAAAATTAATAATTGTCAAATAGAAATAGCCCAGATGACGACAACGGTACAATTGAACCATCTGAAGGTAGTAATATGACAGCAGTTTTGGATCAAAAAAATTATATTGAAGAGCTTAACAGACATTTAAAGTAAATTCTAAATAAAGTTAGATATATTTCTAATTCCAACTTAATTTTAATTTTTAGTGCAACCGTTAATAATTTACAAGCAAAAGTCGAAACTCTTACAACTACAAATGCACTAATGAAAGAAGATTTGGCAATTGCAAGAAATAGCTTATTAGCATTGCAGGCAGAAAATCAAGCTTTGCGAAAGAATATTGCACTAAGTAAAAATAATCAGAAATATTTTATGAAAAAAATTTATATAATGTTTTCTTTTCATTTTATTATTTAAGATAACTCAACTAATTCATCAAACCCAAACTCAGATAATAATTCTGATAAAATTCTGGATATTTCAAACAATTCTGATTTAACACAAAATTTGAATGAAGAACGTAAAAAAGTTAATGAATTAGAGAAAGAACTAAAATTGCAAATTTCATTGAAAGCTGAAACAGACATGGCAATGAAATTATTAGAAAAAGATATACATGAAAAACAGGATACAATTATTTCATTAAGACGACAGCTAGAAGATATTAAGCAGATTAATTTGGAAATGTATAAAAAATTACAGGTTTGTTTAATATTTTGAAGTATTTCAGTTTGTTTTTATTTTAATCACATAAACTTTAAGGTGCCAAATTATTATTTTCTTTATATTTTAGTTTTTACCAAAAACATTTAGTTTAAACTTAGAAATTTGTTGGTTTTAGTGATGTTAATTTATTAAAATTTTTCCTGTGAGAATTTAACAACTTTGCATTAATTCGATTTATTCGTATTTTAATAAATGAATATACTAACGAAAATAAATATATCTTTATTTTGTTTTTTTTTAATATAATCTACTTTAGATTATATTAAAAAAAATTATAGTTTACATTGTAAAGATATCCAAAAACAAAATAATTACTTTAAGTTTATTTCAATTATAATTGCAATTATCAAAATATAACAACTTTAAAATCTAAATATTTAATTCAAAGCGCTTTCGCATTGCACAGTTTCAAGCTGATTTAACATCCATTTCATTTATTGGCTTATTGAACAGTCAATAATTGAAATTAATATTTTACACAGAAAAAATTATTAGGATAAAATACTGTAATGTGATCACCAAAGTTGACAAGGTTGATTTACTAATAAAAATAAATGAAATGAATTTTGAACGCGTGCTAAAACAAATTATTTTTGATCTTATCTTTAATTTCAATTGATTTAAATTGACATCCTTATTTATAAATTCATTAACATCACTAAATATCGTTACAAGAAAATATTATTTGTAAAACAATTTTGCTATTATTAATTTATATTCATATGCATATTTTTAATAATCATAAGAACACAAATTTCTATCATTAACTTAAAAAAATATATAAACTCATACATACATATATAATAAAATTCATCACTTTGATTTGAAAAACAATAAAAATATTAAATAATAAAGACAATAAAAAAATAAATAATTTATTTGGAACCAACAAAAAAACCAAAAAAAAAAAAAACATCCCGTTCGGTTCTCAAATAGGAATGTGAGGAAGAACTAACTCAAAAAGGTGAAATGGTATCCAGATTACAAACAAAAGCGTCACAAATTGGTAATATTTTAGCAAATTTAGAAAAACAAGGAAAATTGGAACAAAATGAATTAAATAAAACACCAACGTCATCATCATTAGCTTCAACATCGTCAATTCAAAATCAGAGACCTCGTTCTCAAATTGTTTCAAATTCTCAAATTAGTTTTAATAAGAAATCTAAAAATGAATGTTTAGGACCACCACATAAAAAATTACATTATATTGATCCAATACCACCATTTAATGCGAATAAAATTCGTAAAATCCCAACACCATCATCTGAACCGGATTCAGAATCGTTATCACCATCAAATTCGAAAATAGAAAGTAAGAAAAAAAATAATAATTCTTTAAGTGAAAATTCGTGTAAAACAAAAAATATTAAAAATGATGATGGGGCTGATTCAAATAAAATTTCTTTAAAAACTGATATTGATAATGAAATAAAAAGAGACAGCCAAGAGAAATCAATTTCTGAAGTTACGACTGCAGAAGATAATACTGAAAAATAATGCTATAATTATGTATGTAATGTATTAAATTAAAGAATGTTGTTTTTTTTCGGTAAAAAATTACTCTAGCTTATTTTCATATATTGATAAATTTACATTCTGGAAAGAAATACTTCTTATTTTAACTATAATCTTGGGAACAAAAGTAAGCCAGATCAGCAGATTGAATATTAATTACTTTTCTTTTGAAAGACAATATAAATTTTTTATGTAATGAACACAATTTTTAATTAGAATTTTTAAATGTCTTTTGTCTACAAAAGTTGACAAAACACAAAATTATTAGTACGTTCTGTACAAAATTATTATGAATTACTTTAACGAGTATATTTTACAATGTAATACACTAGATTTCACTTTTAGTAAATGATTTCATATTGTTCAAACTTTAAATTAAAATTTAACTTTGATTGCATTTTATTGTACTCTTGCATTTATTCAATTAATTACTTAAAATAAAACTTTCTTAGGTCAATCAAAATTAGATTCTTATATTAAATTAATTATTTAATTAAAATTTACTTATTCATAATTTTAATTTAGCGTTAGCAGTTTGTCTAGTTTTAAAATATTTGTTTTAGACAAATAAATAGTATTACTAATTTTCTTGAACTTGGAGTAAAGCTTAATTTATATCGTAGATGTTTGTAATTAATTTATACCTTGGGCGTACGAGCTTTTGTTCCAAAGAAAAAGAAATATAATATGTATAGTATCCGTTTGAAATAGCTATGGTTTTTAAAAAATATCTCTATTTTTAAATGATAAACTTGTTGAGATATAATGAAACATCTATTTGAAAAAAAATTTCAATACATATTTAAAAAATTATTTTATTAGACTCATTTCGTTGTCTTAATCAGATAAAAAGTTAAATCAAAAAAAAAGTTAATGATTCCTTATTTTATTTCCATCAATCATTGAAATATGAATAGAAAAAATTAGAGAAATATTTTACTGAAATAAAAATTAATAAAATTATATTATATTATATAATAATATGCATAAATAAAATAAAAATATGCATGTTAAAATATTTATTTGATTGGATTATATTCATTGATTTGTGGTGATCCGCTATAGTATAATTCAGTGTCACTTCGAAACAAAAGTTATAATTTGGTATAAAAACTTGCATTATCATTATAACTATGGAATCTTATGTTATGTATTTATATTATAGATGTATATGTATGAATTATATATAAATGTATATATATATATATATAAATCAATGCATGAAATGATAGTTTTCTTTATTATTTTAAATGATTTAAAAGAAAAATTGTAATTGACGTGAAACAATGTGAAAATATTTGAAATTTTCTTAAGAAAATACAATTAATTTGCTTATTTTATATATGTACATATAATTAATATTAAATCCCATATCATGAATTCCGTTCGTAGAACTGAAATTTGAAAAATTGCGAATTTCATATTTTCAATTTCGAATTACGAAAATTCTGTTCCGAATATTCGTAATAGAGTATTCGTGAATTACGTTCGTAGCAAAAATAAATCTTAAAAGTTTATGAAAGAAATAATCACACGTAACAAGCAATTAAAAAAGAATGGTTTATTTTAAATTTTTAAGTTTTGAATTTTTTTCTGTGTTGTCTTTTTCTCTAACACGGGAAAATTAATTAATTTTTGTTAAAAAAATTTCAGTTTTCGATAATATTTAAAAACGAAAAAAAACTGCTAAGCTCCGCTTTTAAAAAATATTTTTTTGTTTGAATGTTGTTTACTCAAATAGCAACCATAAAATTTAAATAAACATTTGACATATTTTGAAATAAAATATTTATTTAGTTAGTCATTGAGAAAAATTATGTTGCTATTACTGATTTATTGGAAATTGTGATAATTTAAAAAGCTATGTTGTAACTTACTTCGTAATTCGCAGAATATTACCAGTTAAATTCATGATAAAATTTCTTTTCCATAAATAAAAATTTTTAAAATTATTTCATGTATTTTATGTACATATATATATATACATAATTATATAATAAAATTAAAATCCTTTTTACTAGTATTTTATGTATGTCAATAAAGTTGTACTGAACACAATAACCTACATATTTGTAAAAAAAAAAAAATAAAATATAAAATATTTCAAAAATATTTTAAATATTTAAATGCATTCATTAAATATTAAAATAATATTCAGTACTTTTTTTTAAAAATGCAAAAATATTTAAAAATTTCTTTTTATTTTCTTATGCACTGCGCGCAAATAAATTTTCGCTTTAAATGTTTTGCTAAAAATCTTTCAATATTTCTTTAAAACAAAATAAAAAAAAAATTATTAAAATGATAAAATATAAAAATAAAGAAATTGTAAATGCTATTTTTTAAACTAAATATTCAGAAACAGCAGGAGAACACTACATTTTATTTACATACATATTCATTTGCAATAACTCTATGTACTGAAGAAAGAATATTTAAAAAAACTATTTTTAAAATAAAATTTAAAATCATTCATTTGAAGTACCTATTAAATTTACAAATTACATCAAATTAAATAAAGTTGTATAAGGAAACTGAACAAATTTTTAAGCTTTAATTCATTTTTAATATAAACCAACTAAAAATGTTTTTAATCAATTAAATTACAATTAATAATTAAATATTTTCTTCAAAACAAGACATTTTCTTAAAAGCTAAATTAATGCTTAAAATAAAATTTCAATAATTTCAACAAACATTCCAATACAAATATCTAATAGCATTATCATTGAATGTTGTTTGTGGGTACTAAATCAAAATGAAATGAACATTTTAAGATCATTTTCATGAATATTAATAAAATTTATATTCTAATTGGAATTTTTTTTTGTGGTCCTTAAAGGCTAATGTGGTGTTTGTTTGTTTTTTTTTTCTTTACATATAATACATAATTATAATATGTATAATTAAAAATAATCAAAATATAATTAACTTTTTTTTTATTGTATACATTTTATTTATGAGAAACAAAATATTATGTATTTCGAAAAATGTTAAATAAAAGAAAATAGGTAAAAAACAAAAAAAAAATATCAAAAATTCTTTTTTTAGGAATGTGAATCATCTTTAAAGCACAAAACCGAATTATTAACTAAAATAGAAACTCAAAAGGAAGATTTAACGAACACTATATTACTGTTAGAGAAAAAGTAAGAAATTAATATTATTTTTATTTAATTTATCTTTTTTATTTTTTCCTTGTTTTTTTAAACTAAAATAATATTCTTGTTAAATATATAGTTTTAATAATTATTTAGCAATTTAAGATTATTCCAATTAAATTTTTAATATTTCATAAAATTATTGTATTTACATTATGAAATTAATCTTTTTGGTTTTATAACCATTTATTTAATTACATACATATATATTTTGAGATTTACGATTTTGTGTTTTTTTTTCCTATATTTAATTTTATTCTGGTTTATTTTTGTTAATACACTTAAATAATTTCAACAAACAAAATGAAAATATTTGTTGTATTAAACATTACGGCCGTTTTCTAGTTAATCAAATGCTTGCAAATGAATGCGTTAGTCATAAATTCCAACAGTACGACATGACGTACTCATCATAAATTCCAATATACATTGACAACGCAACTGATTATTATTTTAGTTTTTGCATTTCTTTAAATGTTAATGCATAGGTGATTTTTATTATACTTGCATATATGACAAAATTAATGACAAATAAAACATTTTAGTTTTGGAATTTTTAATTTTTCGATTTATTGAAATGAGTTCTAAAATGTTTATTATCAAAAATACAACTGTTAAATATATATTGCGTATGTATATCACATTATTGTTTTGCAGTATTGTGTTTATGAAAAGGTCTATTATTTTCAATTTGTACGAGTAGCTACATATGTATGTATATTGTCAATTTTGATTTTACGAAATCTTAAAATTTTTTGATTTTTATTATTAACCGTTATTTTATTATATTACATATATAGAAAAGATGAATGGAACATTGAAACAAAAATTTTCAATTTATTTTGTGATTGTAAACAATATTTAAAATTTTATATTTTTATTTAAATACTTCAATAAAGTAAATTATTCTCATAAATATTTTATAAAATATCACAAATTACATAACAAAATCATTTCAAAATTCATATATGTACTATAATTAAAAAAAACTAATATTATTAATAAAATTTTACAAAAGTGATGCAACAAATGGGTGTTAAATACAAATATATAATATTTGTAAAATGTTGTAGTTACTAAACTTTTATAATTACATATAATAAAAATGTAATATATAGCATTTATTTTTTAAAAATAAATATTTTTATTTGATATTTTTGAATCGGTTCGACGATGGTTATAATATTGCTCTTCCAATATATTTAAAATAATATTTTTTTAAAATATTTTCAATTTATTTATATTTTCATAAATAATTATAATATTTTCATCAATATTTTAATTAATTTATCATAATTCGTACTCGTATATAATACGCAATCAAATTTCATTTTGACGAAATTTTTATTTTGTTTTTTTTTTCTTTTAAATTATTTTCTATGTATGTATTTTATATAAATCTTTTTTAATAAATTTCTTATTTTTATAACAATGTATATTTTTGATTTAAATTAATTAGTAATTTTATTGATGCATATTGATTTTTACACATTAATATTTAAGTTAATATTAAAATTTTCATATTATGCAAAATATATAAGAAAATATTTTAAAAAGCATTTATTTTTATACTAAAATTAAAAATTTAAAAAAAAAAATTCTAATAAAAGAAATAAGAGCCTCTTCATGCTAAGAAAATAATTTTAAAATATGAGAATTTTTACATGGAATAAATAAATATTATATTGTATATATAAAATATTATATATATATATATATATATATATAATAATAATATATTATAAAATATGTTATGTATATTTAAATTACCCTACATTATTATGCAAATAACAGTGTAAAAATACTCTAAAATTTTTGAAATTAATACATTTAATTTTCTTGTATTATAAAATTTATATAAAAATTATTGTAAAATGAAAATAATAAATTATGCAAAATATAAAAGAATTAAAAAAGGGTTAAAATATTATTTTAAATAAATTCAACTTAAACTGCATTAGAAAAAAACAAAATAACCTATAAAATATTATTATACATACTTACAATAAATAAAATAAAAAATTTTTACTTTAGTGTTTTATTTAGTTTTTTGAAAAATTTCAAGCTTTTAATCTTAATCAACAACATTAAACATCGTTTCACAAAACTTAATATACTTATACATATATAACGTATACTTATATATTAGGTAAGTATTGACTTTTTCCAAATCGACTATTTTTGTTATCGGTAGTAGACTGATTTTTAAAAACTGAAAATGTTCATATATGAGTACTACAATTAATATATGTACATATATATTATTTTTATATTATATATGGGGCTAACCTACTAAATAGTTTACTTTATTCAGAATAGGTATAGTTAGAAATGATTTTAGTAAGCTTTTATTTAAAACTTTGTAATTATATCTAGAAACGTAATTCGAAAAAAATCTAAAATATTTTCTATGCTTTTGGGATAAAAAAATCTAGTACAAGTCTAATAGTGCATCTCGCTTTTTCATCTTTTATTCAGTTTTAAATCAGAATTCCCAATTTTCTATTGCATATTTCATTTTTCCAATAGGATTACTAATTTTTGTAATTGGATTTTTACCTTAAGTTATCGACTAAACTTCCATCACCTTCAAAAACAAACTGAATAAACAATCTTTAAATTTTATAAATATTTTAGAAAAAATGAGATACGATGAAATTCTTCTCATATTGTGAGCTATATAATGAAAAATACGACCAAGCCCTATATGTGTAACATTTGCTAGGGACGAAGGGAATAAACGTTATTAGTATATTATGAGAAAAATATACAATTTACTTTGGAAAACTCAAAACATTATTAATTTTCAATCGGGTATTTATTTTCGAACTTTCTTTATTTAAAATGTGAGAAGACGACATGTACAAGAACGCATAATAAATTAATTTATATAATTTCATTTAGTTTATTGTGTTTACATACATATGTACATTTGATTTTAAAATATGCCTTCCGGCATAAGTGTAGTTGTATTATGCAACGTATAGACAATCAACGTACTTATTTATGATCAATAATGTAAATTTAGTTGATTTTGTAATTTTCAAATTAGCTGTGTGACTTTTTGTTTTATATTTGATCTTTCTTATTACAATCTTTAATCTGTTTCTAAAACTATTTTTTATTTTTTTTTGGTACTTTTTGCTAAGGTTGGACCCGCTTATTTTTAAAATTTGGCTCAAAATTTTTTAAATAGAGAAAACGTTGACTATGACTTTAAAACACGGTATATTATTGGTACTTTATAATCAAGGTACATTCTGACTTCATTAAGGAATTTCGCAAGAAATTTACAAGAATTTTGTCTACTAGAAAAATTTATTTATAATAAAAATAAAGCTAGTATTAGGTTCAACATTTTTGGATAAATTACACCATCACCAGGCTAGATGACATTTAAATTTTTTAAATTCTTTAAAAAAAAACAAAGAATTTTTTAAATTCTTTTTCATTAAAATGTCCCTGCTCATCATAGGGAAATTTTTTATTTTACATAATTATGTATATTGTACGACAAGTATTGAAAATACGATAAGTATTTTTTTATGATTTTTCGGTAAAGATCCAAAGACAAAAATTGATAGTGAGAAAGATTTTTAATGGAATTTATGGATTTCATTTAAAGCAAATACTTCTTCGTG